GAATTCAGCTCTTATATTCCGAAATGCGTTGACGGATTTCTAGCCTAGCCCTAGGTTTTGCGTGGAGGAGGCCTAGTCCACTGCCAGGCTAGCTAGGCCTAGATCTACATAGGCCTAGATCTACAGTATGTAGCTAGATCTATGTAGGTGTGTTAAACAAATAATGAATGTTTTGTATTCGTACAATGGAAAGAATATTTTCATTCGTTGAAAGATTGACTGTTCCATTCAACGAATGAAAATATTCTTTCCATTACACTCATAAACTATCATTATTTTGTATACTATGGTACACCTTCCAGCAAAAAGGGCCAGGCCGTTTCTGTACCATACCATGACATACACATATCTCCAGCAATTGTGTCGGCATAACATATTACATCATAACCTTCTATTAAAACTGTGCAGAGACCCAGCAAACACAAAAGGTATTGTGGTATAGGTGTATCAGAAAATTATATAATACAACATCGCAACAACACTGCAATGTTATTTAATTGTAAAATTATGTTATACTACAATTATGGTTCTACAAAAAAACAAAAGAAATAAACTGTTTGTACACAAAAATGTTACTCGCTATTGTAAAGTAAAATTGTTAGCTGGAGAGATACTATTACAAGGGTACAGAACTATATGAGTTTCCAACTATATGGCCTATAGATTGTAATGAAGTACTATCGTATCATATCTTATCGTAATGAGGCTAAAACAAAATGGCAAAGTCATTTACTTACAATCATTTCCTGAGGCATTGCCATTGCTGATATTCAACAACTGGCCTACAAAATGTCTTCACCTCTGCACCTTTTGAGATGTTTGACTTAAGAATTACTTAATATTTGGACTTGTGTTGACATTGAGGATTCTACTGAATAGTTCAAACTACAAACACCAGATAGGTCAATCCTTGTCAGAGAATACCAGTACAAAGAATGAATGTTATATATTTATTTAGCCTACAGAACAGGCATTTGGGTTTTAAAAGATAGCAATTTCTTTTTTCATGTCACTGTCTGGTGTATACCCCACAAAAGATGTTTATGTGGCATTCATTATACTACGGTATTCCATGTTGCACTATGTCACAAAAAGAGCAAGCCAGGCTATTGATTGAAATCAAGCCTTTGTCCAATAGTTAATAAGAAACTTCAACAAATAACAAAGACCAACCAAAGACCTTTTAGCCTATCAGTCAGGTCCATTGAAAAAACATGGCCAATCAAGAAAGTTAGGCCTATTTATTTATTTATTTTTTATTCTTCAAAACAAAGTGTCAATCATTAACATATAACACAAAAAATATACAACATTCAAGAACACATAAGTTAAAATATTAGAATGAATTCAAATACTATGAAATTTATATTTAAAAATGAAAAAAAAAACAACAAAATGTACAACTATGAATATCGCAATATTGTAAATGATATAGTTATTCATTTGAAATGATGCTGGTTTTATTTTTTTTGCTATTTGTGGGAGCTTAGCGTAGGTGGTATTATTTTCTTTTATATATTATGATGTATTATTGTATTATTTGTATTCATTAGAATGAATTCAAATACTATGAAATTTATATTTAAAAATGAAAAAAAAAACAACAACAAAATGTACAACTATGAATATCGCAATATTGTAAATGATATAGTTGTTCATTTGAAATGATGCTGGTTTTATTTTTTTTGCTATTTGTGGGAGCTTAGCGTAGGTGGTATTATTTTCTTTTATATATTATGATGTATTGTATTCTGTTTTGCTTTTGTCAGAGAAATATATTTTGCCTAAATGACCGTAATCTCATGAAAAGTTAATAGAGCTATGTTATTATAGTAAGTAATGTTTAATAAAATTCTAGGAAAGGAGTACCCAATTGCTAGAATCTAGAAAACAAGAGACATCTCAAAGATGCAATTTGCAAAATCTGTGAGTATATGTGTAAGACTGCAATAATCCTTAAAACATATTTCTAGTAGTCCTATGAAAACAAAATTGAATATCACATTTTGAACATTGTTCTATTGCGAGTGTGAACAACAAGGGAATCAATAAAAAATATAGGAGATAAAGATAATACAGAGAATATATATTAAGTGTTTTTTGTTTTTTTTTCTGAAGAAGGCAATGCTTATTATTTTAAAGCTAGTGTAAAAAAAAACATTAAAAACTTACATCAAGATCTGTCAATTTCTCACCCGTCAGGTTATGGAATGCATGACTTGACAAATCCAAATCTACAAATTTGCATAAAAATGTAAAAAAAATTAATTAATTAATGGAATCTTTGGAAATTGTAGCAAAAATCATTATTTAGCCCTATTTCTACTGTCAAAAAATTTAGAAATGATTAAATGATATTGTTGCACATTTCAAAAATATATATAGGCCTATATACACTGTATAATATTGTGCACTTGAAAATATGGTTAATTGGCATTCTTTTAGTAGAAACATGGCTAATAAGATACATATTGCTCATATTATATTATAAATTTTAATCATTAATGATGATTCCAGTAAATTGTATAAATTATTGGCAAAATAATCTTGAATACTGGTAGTTTAATTGGCCCTGTAACCCTATGGTTAAAAATCTATTTTAAATGAATATTTTGATGTTCAAGCAATTCCCTTTTTCTTTTAATGTTTGGGTTGTTGGTTTGTTTTTTGGGCCAATGGGTCTTCCTGGCGACATGAGAGGTGTTTCGGGTCTTCATCTGCCGCATTCTAGTGGTTTTAAAAACAGAACACTAATGTTATCTCCACAATTATTTTTGTAAAGGCAACATAGCCTTAAAGTTGTTATAATTTATGCTTTTTTTTATTACTTACTATACAATATTTGTTAATGTTTTTTAATTTTGTTATCTGTAGCAATAAACCATCAATAATAATGTGTGTCAATAAATTAATACAGTAAATTTTTATTAACTTCTCTTTCTCTTTCTAGTTTTCCAGGTGGTCAGATTGAGGGCAGCATTGCTGTTTTAAACACATTGTTAGAAAAAGTTAATGGCACCAGTAATGTGGTAAGAAACATAATTCTAGTGGCATATGTAAGGGGTTTGTGAGCAGATGCAAAAAAAAAAAAAAAAAAAAAAAGCTGGCACCTCCCCCAGTTTCCCCTCTCCCAACCCCCCACTAAAAATGTCTGAAGCAAACAAATCATGATCAAGTAGTTAAAAATCACCTATCACCATATTTTGCAACCTACAGTAGTTCCCCCACTTTCGGTGCCCCTCCGAGACCCACTGCACGGTCTAAGATAAATCAGAACGGTAGTAAAATCATTCATCCACAATATAGCATACATTGACATGTAACCTGTTATCCATCACCTTAATAGAGGTTCGAAATCTTCGACAGAGCCACAACGTGGTCAGAGAGGAAATTTTTCCCTATCGGACAAATCATGGAACCCCTGTTGTCCAACACCACTATAAATAATAATTCGTAGATCCAACCAACTGCTGTTCTATTACTGTCTAAAAAAAATAAATTTTTACCATCTTATAAACCATATAACCTTAAATCTCTCCCTCTTGACACTCACCAGGGCCAAGTCAGACCTTTGGTTTGGATCACTCTGTCAAATTGGTTTGCCCCTTTGGCAAATTTTTAAAGCCACCACTGACCCCAAGAGTGTGAATCTGGGTGAAAAGCTCTTGGTGCATTCTTGGATGGATTCATACTAACTTGTTGCAATCAATCATTTGTCTCGATTAGTTAATTTTTGAGGATAACACAATATGGTACTCTATTTTTCATAATGAATATTTCAATTATAAATTGATAACTATTACAATTATTCTAGCTGCAAAGTAGGTACAGTACTAGTAAAAGACACTGTGACAAGTACAAAAAAAATATTTCAAGAATATTGCAAAAAGACCTACTTGTTTCCGTCATGGTTGCATGAGCTCGGTCCTTTCTTTATGTGCCTAACAGAGAGACATTTGGCCTAAACCTGAAATTTGGTTACGAAAGCAGACACGCAATAACAAGCTACAACAAATCCTCCATTATGATATATGAACAACCGAAGGCGTAAAAAAAAACTCAACATATACGAGTATGATGATTCACCATAGCCGATGTACTGTAGGCTCAACTATTTTATATAGAAACTGAAAACAATTTCAAATTTATATATGCCAGGACAATAGATTGTGTTTGTGTTTTTTGACAAATTATCCTACAATGGTATTCCATTCTCTTCTTTAGTATTTCTTTTTTTTGCAAATACAAAGCATTGGCATCCCACAACAAGCTTACAACCCACAAGAATTATTAACTACTTCAAACCCAAGGTATAGCATCCCAAGTGAACAGCAGTTGTACAATTGGTGACAGTAAACTTTTTATACAGAAGAATAAAAGAGTTAAGCCATCAAGGTTAGTTTAAAATCCAATACACACAAACCAGGACAAATCAATGTTTATATAATGAGTAGCATCCACTGAACTACATAAAGTGTGGCATGGCCATTGTATGTAGCCTGAGCATTGGAGTCAAGATTCTTGCAGTCCTAAAGTACCTTGTTCAATCCATTGTTGCTCTCTTTGTGTCACTGTCATATTCAATAAATCAGACCTTTTGTTAAGCTAGCCAAGGCAGCCTATACCTAGGGTTGTATCATGGTTGTATCATGGCAAAGGCCTATATATAAGAAATCAAGTTGCCGAAGAAATAAACCCACATTCATTTGTACATAGTCAACTTTAACTCAGATTTCACAATCATGAACAACGCCGTTCAAATATTAGAGGCACCAGTGGGAGGCCCCAGGAAGCCGTAGGGCAGGCCGCCGGGGGGCCGTAGGGCAGGCCGCAGGGGGCCGTAGGGCAGGCCGCCAGGGGGCCGTAGGGCCTGTCTCTTATACACATCTAGATGTGTATAAGAGACAGAGATAATACAGAGAATATATATTAAGTGTTTTTTGTTTTTTTTTCTGAAGAAGGCAATGCTTATTATTTTAAAGCTAGTGTAAAAAAAAACATTAAAAACTTACATCAAGATCTGTCAATTTCTCACCCGTCAGGTTATGGAATGCATGACTTGACAAATCCAAATCTAGCCTGGACGCACGGCCTGGACCCTGTCTAGGTCATTGGATCAAAAATTTTTTAAATAATAATTTGCCTATCCAAATAACATTATTTTTACTGCCAATCCCTAATATTGTGGTCTAAAAGCATATTTTGGACCTACTAAGCCATAAAAACTTTCCCTGTGAACCCTACAAAGGAGTTTTTATTCTGGGCCGTTGACAAAGGCTTCGTTGGCCCCTTGGCTCAGACCCCACCGTCGGACATGTCGGACCCCCTGTTGTCACATTTCTGGCACCACTGCCGAGTTCCAGCTGTGACTAAATCAAGTCTTAGGTAGTTCAGCTTAAGACAGCGACAGCTATTAACCAATTGATAAATTTAAAATTAGACATTCTTGTGGTTTGGAAAGTTTAAATTTCCCAACAGCCATTAAAAAATACATAGCGCCTAGACGCAAGGTGCTACAATACGGTAGATTATAGATACTATTATTCTTAAATACCTTACTAAACTCAATATTGTTTTGTGCGTTAAATGCACCGATAATACTATAGATGTATTCTTGGCAGTATATCATGTGTTTACAAAAAGTTTGTTTTAGTGGGGAAAGTACAGTATGTTAACTTGGCAATTTAGACCATACTGTAGGCTGACTTTAAAAATTGGACATTCACTAGAGATAGACTTCCGGGGGTTTTGGCCTTCAGGCCAGACAATGTGACATATGCTTTTAGGGAGATGAAAACTTAAAGGAAGGGTATGTTTAAGGAAGAAACATAACATACAAACACAAATAATAGGGACATGACCAAAGTGAAATTTTAACAAAATCCTACCATAATTATGACTGGATTTCAAAACCTCAAAAGTGAGCACCTGTAACTCCAATGTCTAAAATACTTTGCACCTACTTACAGCCTCCTTGACTTTGCCAGCTATGCAGTTGATACATGGAGGTATTATATCTAACAGCAGAGTTTGACATTTAACGCCTAGATAGACGTTTTGAATAGCCCACCTCTGTGTTACGAACAACTAAAGACGATCGCTTTACGGTTACTTGCATGAAGTACCATTTGGAAAAATCAGAACTGTTCACTTGTTGCAAAGAATTTAGGTAATGAAGTGTGAATGAACTCCCTAATTGAGGTTTTATTGTAAACCACTTCTGGAAATGTTAATCTACTGAAAACAAACACAGAAAAGGGTGTACAGTAATACAGTACTATAGGTAGGGGTTCAAGTCCATGCCACTGTAAACTGGTCTGTACCCATCCTAGTCTATATCCAAATTTCAACCCTAATTTCCTTTCCGATTAGGCCTACAATAAACCCTAATCTATCAAGTGAGATGGTATTTAAAAATGGCAGATTACGGACTACACCTTGAAACCCAATTTGATGAAATCCAGATTGCCAACTCATTAATTCCAAATCCCAATAAAATGCCAAAAAATTGCCGAAAACCACTGTTTTGAATCAAGCTCTATAGAGATAACAAAAACACTTTACTGCTGTATCTAGATCCTGTTTCTGGTGTAGCCTTTCATCCATGTCCACTAATTAAAAACTATTAAAATCTACTTTTCTCCTTTGTCTTGAACACATTAAGAAGTTGTTCATAATCAATTAATTCATCAAAATAGGGCCTCCAGCGCAAATGCTGTTTTATGGAACTAGAAATATCCCACACCCATAATTCTCCTTGCTAGGTTATGTTATTAACCATAGAATCAGAATAAAATACAATTAAATTATCACCAAAAAAAAGAAACCTAATCCTTGTAGAGCCATAAACAGAACCTCTAATAACACAAAAGATTATATTTCTCAGCATTTTTCAGGCAGCCAATCCCCACCCTTCATGTTTAACACATTACTATCAGTTCCCCAACCTATTGCTCTATTCTCAAAAATTCGCCCTCCTCCTGTATTTGAGGAAATAAACATATTATTATAATTTGAGAGGTTGTGCTAGGGATGTATTAATGTAAATGAGTGGATTCTAATTTATTAGGAGATTATCTAATATTGTTTGCTATTGTTTCTATGTGTGTATTATTACATTTCAGTAGATCCAATAGGAGATGTCCTATACTATAATATAGGCTAATATTTTCAAATATGATTAACATTAAATATCAACCTATTTTAAATGTGTTTTTTCCCATTTTTATTGTATTATATTATTAATAATTAATGTTGTTTATTGAACCTTTTTAGTCTTTGTATGTATATGATAATAATAAAAAGAGAAGTTTAGAATTTGTAAATAAGATTAATGTTTATTATGTAATGTAATGTTTTTGCAATTTGTGCTTTTCTGTGACTATTTTTTAAACTTTTGTATTGTTATGCTTGTTATTACAGTAGGTGAACCAACAGGATTGCCTTTTGGTTTGTTGTGAGGTATTTTATACCAACTAAATAAATTTTATTTTATTTTTTTATTTTTTTATATTTTATATTAATAAATCTTACCGTAATTGTAGTAAACTTCATCTTCATTGTACCCCTCTTCATTGATTGGAAACATGAAGTGATGGGGACTTAAGCTTTCACCAAAAGATGGAGTACTTGGGCAGGTGAAAGAAGACAATGGCAGAGAAAACCTTCTACGATCCAAATCTCTCACAGACATCTTTGACTTCTCAACAGACTGTCTGTGGTGACGACGCCCTGAATCAGACAAGCTCGTCTTTTCTTGATCACGTGGAAACCAGTTGAATGTTGGGCTTGGTGGACAGGTTTGGCTGTTTCTGATAGGGTATTTGGATGTAGGGATGTTAACAGCATATGGTGGAGTGTAGTCGATACCTTCTAATGGTTTCCTAGGGGTTGATGTACTTGAGGAATTAGGTGTCTCTCTAGTAGTTTGACTTAAGTTGAATTTTAAGGTTGATGGTCTGGCTTTGGTGCTCTTAATCTGAGTATTCATATTTGAACTCAGCTTGTCTAAAGGAGCACCTTCTGACAGAAAAGATACGTTTGAGAGGTTGTCAATGTTGCTGATACTTGAAAGAGACTGCCCTCTATTGCTGGTTCTTAACAACTCATTCCCATTTTCTTTGGCTGCTTGTGTTGCCACGTCCTTTAATCCTGCGCTTTCAGTAGTGCTAGTTCTTAACAATCCCTTCCCATTTTTTTTGGCTGGCTGTGTTGCCACGTCCTCTAATCCTGTGCTTTCAGTAGTGCTAGTTCTTAACAATCCCTTCCCATTTTCTTCGGCTGGGTGTGTTGCCATGTCCTCTAATCCTGCGCTTTCAGTAGTGCTAGTTCTTAACAATCCCTTCCCATTTTCTTTGGCTGGCTGTGTTGCCACGTCCTCTAATCCTGTGCTTTCAGTAGTGCTAGTTCTTAACAATCCTTTCCCATTTTCTTTGGCTGGTTGTGTTGCCATGTCCTCTATTCCTGTGCTTTCAGTAGATTTTAACTGCAGGTAAGTGATATCTTTTGGAGATGAAGCACTTATTTTTGAACTCTCAGAATCTTCCTCTAGGTTTATCTGCATTTCCAATTCCTCAAATTCTCTGTTTTCATCTGAAGAACCTGTTCCAACTTCAACTGAAGAACTTTCAGCCACTACTTGAACATCTGGTTTTTTATATTTGATATCACTACTCTGGTGAATGTTATCTTCCCTTTTCGTCTGCTGGAGATCACTGGTATTTGTTAAGGATGTTGTTCCAGTATTTCTCCACATCCTCCTTTTCACAGTTGGACAATTATCTGAAGTAAACAAAATAAAAAATAACAATCACTAAACCTTATATTATATTGAATAAAGTAAAACAATACACACTTTATACAAATTATCTTAGCATTGACATAAATCCAACAGCAATTTAGATTTATTTTGTAAAAAGCCTCCTAAATATCTAACTCAGAACATTTGGGGCACATACAGTATCTGATATCCTACCAACGGGATATTTTTATCTATTTATAATGACAATAACAACACATTCTACACTGTGTAGTAGCCATTACAGAAGTGAATTGTTTATTAAACTCTAGAGGGCAGCATGACTGCTTTCACACATTACAGTATCTGACATGCTAATATTCTAGGCAGGTTCACTATCATTATTTAGTTTAAGAAAATGGCACTTTCAGGTTTTAAAAATGCTTTTTAATCGACTTTATGATGCAATTAATTTGACATCCTATAATACAAGAAAATTGAAATAGCACACCATTCAGATTATCAGATGTGTTTCAATCCCTAGAGTCACCTTTATAGAAGTGTATCAATGGTTGCAATGTTAGACTCACAACATGTGAAAGTAAAATTTTCACATACAGTTTCCATTAACACTCCTTTACCCCTTTCTCTTCTGTGTACTCAAATTCAACAAATATAACCATATCTCAAACCAGGTAGGAACTTATAGGACTTTTAAGCATTTTACTTACCACTGACAGGCTCTTTTTCAGTCTCTTCTTTCTTGGATGATGGCAAATTGGAATGGTTTGGCATGTCATTTTGATCCGATATTTCAAATTGTTCACAAGCTTGTTGTTCATTCTCCCTCACTTTGCTACTATCAGCATCCTCACATTCTACTTTTGTTTGATATAACTTATCGCTTTTGTCACTTATCTTCAAGAACTGATTTTCTTTACAGGTTTCTTGTAGCAAATTATCATCGCATCGTTGATGATTTTCTAAATCAGAAAGGATAATCTTTGGATTGAAATTATTTTCCAAGTTATTGAATGAATTTGACTCTTCAACTTCTAGTGCATCTTCTTTGTCAATACCTGACTCTGAAGGTTTGATAGACGCTTCAGATAATATATCCTGTCTTATCATCTGGCTTTCCTTAGCAATTTCACTCCACATACTATCAAAATCTACATCTTCAGCTTCACTAAGGTTTTGCAAATCATCACTATGTGACTGAACAACTTTACACAGTAATTCAGCATCATTCTCACCTGATTCCTGCTGATATAAATCATTGGCACTAGTTTTTTCGATTATAATTGATTCAACTGTAGAGTTTTTAACATTATCAGATACATCATTAGGATATGTAAACATTACGTTTTGTGGAAAATGTGTTTTCCTGAGCTCTTCATCATCTGTGACTGTTAATTTCTCTTCACTATCCGAATGCACTTTATCTTTGTCTGACATCACTATATCTAGAGATTCCATCTGAACACCTTTCTGTTCTTCAACTTTTACTGATGGAGGTCTGATAACTGGTTTTACAATTCTACATGATGGAGATATTTGCCCAGGCTTCAATTTTGTAAATCCAATTGACGGGTGATTTGAAGAATTTCTTTTACTTTGTGGTGCACTCAATATCTTTGATCCTGTTGAACTAGCTCTTTTAACATTCTGCTTTCCTGTCTGAGGTACTGCTAATTTTGGTACAGTTGTTGCTGAAGAAAGAGGTCTTGCATTTACAACCTTCACATTTCTACTTGTAGAAGGTTTAATGCATTGTTGATTACTCTTCTGACCTGATGTATGTGGTGTTGGCAATGTCCTTGGTAACTTTGTTGAAGCTTGAGAAGGTGCTCTCAGTTTCAATATTTTAGGTGATGGTTTTGGAATGGCTTTGTGTTGCAAATTTCCTGAATTTGATGGATAGGTGAGAGATCTTTTTAATGGTTCCTTTATAATACCTTCCTCTGCTTTTTGAATAGCCATTGAAGGAACAACTTTCCTTATCCTACTGCTAGCACTTTGTTGTTCAATACTGGCCTTGATCTTTGTAATAATTACATCTTCATCTTTTTTCACTTTAGTATTAACTGTAGATGAGTATCCAAAAGTTTTTCCTGGGGAAGCAGATTTTACATTTGCTATTATAGAACTTGATGACTCTAGGCTTGAAGTGATTTTTGTAGGTTTACTGGTAACAGATACATTTGAAGCTGTAAATCTGGATGAATTACCAAGGTCAACTTTACTGTACACCCCAAGCCTGGATGTTTCATTGTCTGGCAAATGACTTTTTGGAACTGCATACTTTTTTGACATTTTATTGCTTTTATCAGATTCTTCTCTTGTGTCTTCAACTCCACTAATCTTGTTGTCTAGTTTATGTGCTTTTGAGGTAGTAACATTTTGATTACATTCAATTTGCTTTTTTCTTTCCAATAACCTTGCAACAACATCCATTACTTCCTCTTGTCTTTGTCCTTCGTTTCCTGGAAATGCATCTTTTTCACTATTTGCTATGACCTCCTTGGCTCTATTAATTTCTTCCTTACATCCACTGTCAGCTGTACTTTGTAAATTATCATGCAATGCGAAGATAGTTGGACCAACATGAGATTTTGTTTCAGATATACATTTTTCAGATATCTTCCCTGGTTCCTGAGACAATAAACCAGTATTAGGGGTACTTTTGTCATTTGAAATGCAAGATGATGCAGTATGCTGAGATTTAGTAGACCGTTTTTGTAATACACTCGGTCGTTTATCTGATGCTGATTGATATTTTAAAACTTTCGTAGATGGTGATGTAGCCCTTGTAAATGAACGTGGTTTTAATTGAGATATTCCAGAGGTTTCATACATAGACAATTTTGAAGCATTTTCTTGCTTCTTCCTCTGTGTTCTTGATGAAAGGGGTAACTTTGACACCTGAGGTGGCCTTGATGTAATTGGTAACTTTGATGCTGCTGTTAAGGATACAGTCTTCTTTGATGAAGATTTTGGCATCTGTAAGGTTCGTTGTTTTGGAATTTGTTGCTCTTCTGGAAACCCAGAATATTTTAGTTTTCCTGCTGATGATGAGTTTGACTCTATAGATGCCTTAAATAGATCATCAGATTTTGATTTAGGTTTCTTTATTGATCTTGGTTGTTGAATGATTTTTCTTGGAGTACTAGATGGAGTTGACATAGAAGGTGTATCAGATGTATATTTCATGATTGCCTTTGGGGTTTTCAATTTTGATCGCAGGTTTCCAGATGTGTTTGAGTTTGTTGGAATCTTTGATGTCACTGGACCATTTTGAACTCGATCACTTTCAGATATAAATGGGGCACCAGGCGTTTTTAGGCTGTTTTTCCCTAGAGAAAAAATATGAAATTAATAGTTATTATATATTATTCAAATGAAATTATCAGTTTTGAAAGGAAATATAATTTTACCTGTTCCTAAAAGCATTAAAATTCAGTTTGACCTACATTCTTTGTAATATATTTATTTTATTCACTCCGATCATAAATTAAAAGATAACTCTTCTGTGCAGTCAAAATGTAAGCACCCAGAGTTCTTTACTTTTGTGATTGGTAATAGACGTGATACATGCAAGATAACAACTTTGAATAAACCACAGAATACCAATTCACTTTCTCCATGTATATTTTTTTACCTGCTACCAATTTTTCAGGTGTCTTTACACCTCTGGGTTCTTGGATCGCTGAGATATTTGATGCCTTCGTGATTGGCATCATTGAATGATCATCCAGTTTGACTGCAGTTTGTGGAACCTTCTGGAAGTCACTATTTTTCTGAATACTTCCACCATCTGTCAAAAAATAAGGAAAATTTTATTTACGAACTAATTATCACCACACGAGTCCTCTTAGGCAAAATGAAATAAATTTAGTTTCATGTCTGGGATTTCAAATTATTTTTTGGTGAGGGCATATCCTATATACTAATGGTAAACAGGATGGTAAACAGTAAAAATAGTTTTAGGTTTTTTTAATCAAAAAAGTAAAGTGAATCTTTGTAGTGTATTTCTGCCATTTATGTTCCACCTTTTCTTAGGCTTGACATCATCCTTTCAGATATCGGTAGTCATTATTTTTATTGTCCATGGAAAAATGAATGTATTTTTGAAAAATAGCAAATAGTGGGGATGTGAAACGTATTTGGCCTTATGCTAATCTAATATACTGTGCTGTCTTGACTATGGTTCAATACATGGTCAGGCATTGTTCTTTAATACATTACCATACCCTAAAATATACTTGACAGAACCGCCTCTATGGGTGTAATATGCAGTGCAAATTTTATCTGCTTGTTTTAAATGAGCAACACAATAGGGTTTAATTAAATTCTTGAATTTTTTTCTCAATTTCTTTGGTGACAGAAAAAGATACCCCTTTTAGTACACTGCCAAGGTGAGAATAAGCCTGTGTTAATTTCCGAATGCATTTCCATTTACATCAAACGAAAAAGTCTTGGTTGATTACGAATTGCTCCCATTTCACTCAGGCAATGAACGCGGGTTCAAATACCACCCCCAATTTTTGTTGCGATGGTGTCCAGAGTTTTGCAGTGTAAAAGGGGTATAATATACCTCTAAAACAAACAACTATACAATTTCTTCAAAGATTCCAATTCAGATATTTATTAAAATTACAGCCATGGTCTATCCTGGATTTTCTACTCTGGGTTTGCCCTGGATACCTAAGCCCCGTTCATATCCAACTATGGCGAGATAATTTTAGTGGATGAGCTAAAGTTTGAGTATGACTGCTCAAGTATGGCGAGATGAAGGCCACAACTCGACTAAGCCCGTCGAGTAAATTTATGTCGACTAACTTCTTAATCCAGCCTAAAGCCAGTAAACAATTAAACAGCGGGTGGCCACAGGTCACAAATACACCAATCAAATTGAAGCAAAGTGACCTTCCATGCTTCCATACAATCATAAACACCATTCAGAATTGACGCACTCTCCCTGATCCGTGTACTGTACTTTAATTTCAACAAGTCTTATTTTGCAAATGATGGCCGAAAAGTCAGTAAAGAAACACCATCTCTGGACGTATGCGCAGGAATGTGATTTAATAGATATCTGGAGGGAGCCAGAAATCGCCGAAAAAGTTGAAGATAAATTGTACCGTCAGAAGGCTG